TCCTGTCTTTTATCAGAATCTTACAGAGCACTTCCTCCTCTTGTTTTGTCCCATGACAACTTAGTGAAGTAGAGAGAGAGAGAGGGAGAGGGGGAGAGAGGGAGGGAGGGAGGGAGAGAGAGAGAGAGAGAGAGAGAGAGAGAGACCAGCTTTCAGCTTTTGGGGCCGAGTAGGAATAGGCTGAGTAGGCATCATGGCTCAGTGGTTAAAGATGCTGAGCTTGTCAGCTGGAAAACGGACAGCCCAGGTTTGAGACCCAAGCGCCACGCAATGGGGTGAGCTCCCGTTCCACCTTTGGTGATATGGCCACATGATCACAGAAAATGTCTTTGGACAATGCTAGCTTGCTCAGTCAAGAGACGGAGATGAACACCATGCTCTAGAGTCAGGTATGATTAGAGAGGGAAACCTCTATCCAGGAATTAGAACTCAAGGTCTACCACCATAACTTAATTGTGGTCTTAAGTCCTACACACACACATACACGCACACACATACACACACGTGTATGCTTTCAGGTCTTTTTTCAGTCTCTATGGCTTATCTGATAATTCTGTAGCTGGGGTTTTCTATAGTGGCTAGGGTTTTGGTGCCATTGAAGTCGATGCTATGACCTGTGGCTTTCATGTGTTGGACTAGTGAGGATGTGTGTTCCAGCTTTTTACTGCATTTTTGTGTTCATCTAGGCGGGTACTTATTCTTCTATTGGTCTGTCTGATGTATGTGGCAGGGCATGATGTGCAGGGGACTTCATATACGCCTTGGTTTTCCAGGTCAATTTTATCTTTGGGGTTTCTTAGGATGGTTGCTATTTTTCTGTCTGTTTTGAAGGCAGTCTTGATGTGATGCCTGTGTACTATCTTACTGGTTTTGTCTGTAGTACCTCTTATGTAGGGCAGGACAGCTGTTCCATAGGTCTGTTCATCTTCTGGGTCTCCATTATGTCTCAGTGTGTTTTTGAGGATCAGGTCTGTGATTTTGCTTTTGTGGAAGCCATTGGCTGTCAGTACTTTAGTCAGGGTGCATAGTTCAGTCTTTATGTGTGTCTTGTCTGCCAGGTGTTTGGTTCTGACAGTTAGTGTTTTGGCCATGGAGTTTATCTGTCCTGGGTGGTGATGGGATTGGGCCTTGAGGTAGTGGTTGGTGTGTGTTTTCTTCTGGTTTTATGGTGTGTCCTGGTATGCCATCTGTTTTTTTTGTAGATTAGTACATCTAGGAATGGTAGTTGTTTGTTTATTTCCATTTCCATGGTGAATTTGATTTTGGGGTGTGTGCTGTTTTGGTGTGTTAGGAAATTGTTTAGGTTTTCTTTTCCATGGGGCCAAATAACAAATGTGTCATCGATGTATCTTAACCATAGTTTGGGTTTGTGGGTGGCATTTGCCAGGGCTCTGGATTCGAATTCTTCCATGAACAGGTTTGCACAACTATAATGACGTGGGAAAATACCTGAACAAAGCTGAATACCATACATATAAATACCCGCGAAAACTTAAGAACATAGATAGATAGATAGATAGATAGATAGATAGATAGAGATAGATAGATAGATAGATAGATAGATAGATAGACAGACAGACAGACAGACACACACACACACACACACACACATGGACACACATATACACACATAGAGAGAGAGCTTCATTTCTACGCCCCTGTTCTCAGAGCACAGGGTGAAACTAGCATGACTGAAGAATTCCCAGGTAAACTCAAATAAATTTGTTTCCTGAATCACTCCATTTTTTAAAAAAATACTTGAGGACTAGAAGCCTGCAAATCACTGTATCTGGCTCCCCCTCCTTTTTCTGTACCTGCATGAGTGTATCAAAATTAATATATAATAGCATTGTTGTACTAATGGAAGGATCATAAGACAGTGTGACTCTCCACTCCATTCTCCAGACCTACAACAGAATCACCTCCAATTTATCCGCAGAATTCTCTATTACAATTTCTTAGCAAGGTATAGCCCACGTAATAAATATTCTAACTTTTGCCCAGAATATGTCAATCTTAAGACGGATTTTTTTTCTTTCTTTCTTTCTTTCTTTCTTTCTTTCTTTCTTTCTTTCTTTCTTTCTTTCTTTCTTTCTTTCTTTCTTTCTTTCTTTCTTTCTTTCTTTCTTTCTTTCTTTTAAAAAAAACCTTCCCTCCCAATCCTGTCTGCCTTGGAATGTCTGCTTACATTTACAGAAGTGGGTGAATGGATTTGACAGTATTTAAAGTACTGTGATTTTACGACCTCTTTGAAATGCATTACGTTTTGATCCTCCACAAGTCCAAATTAAATCATGAGCTGGTATCCAAGCTCAGTTTTCCCAGCTGCCTGCCTCAAGAAATGCTGTCGTGTTTATGGTACAAATTTAAAAGAAACTGAATGCATGCTTGTAATTGTGGTGGTTTTACTTTGATATGTATTCCTCCGTAGATTCTCTTCCAGTTAGGCCTGCAATTAGATGATAATTTGCATTGGAATTATATAAACAGACCTGGATTGGATGGCAATATGAAACAGGCAAAAAG